CTGCTCGTGTCAGCCCCAGAGCAGGAAAAGAGTCTAGCGATGCTGAGGCATACACAGGACTGGGGACTGGAAGCAGAGTCAAGGCCCAAGCAGTGGTGGCCCTTTTTTTCTTTTTTTTCCCCTAGTTAATGAGGTTTGAACTCAGGGCTTCACACTTGCTAGGCAGGCGATCTACTGCTTGGGCCACACCTCCGGCCCTCTCTGCTTTGTTTATTTTGGAGACAAGATCTTGCTTCTTGCTCAGGCTGGTCTGGACCACGATATTCCTATTTAAAATGCTTCCTGCCATAGCTGGGGTGACAGGCACATGCAGCCACATCCAGCCTTTTCCCCACTGAGATGGGGTCTCGCAAACTTTTTTGCCCAGGCTGGCCTCAAATCATGATTCTCCCAATCTCGGCCTCCCAAGTAGCTAGGATTATAGGTGTGAGCCACCTGCATCCAGCTAGGCACAGGCATCTCTTGAAGCTGAAAGGATGAAGCCACCCATGTCACCTGCTGCTATACTGAGGCCAGAGCAGACGGCTCAGCATGGATGCTGCAGCACAGAGACCCAGACATGCTCCTGTACACTGCAACTTCCCCCTCCAGCCCGCGGAGGGTGATTCCAAAGCATCTGCCATATCAGGGTTTTCTCCAGACCCACCGGAGCCCAGTAAGGCTGGAAGCCCCAGCAGGCTTCAGAAGGCAGGACTCCTCCCTGTGAGTCCTGGTTGCTCAATAATTATAGTGTCTTGCAAACACCAGGCCATGTGCCACGATGTCACAGTAGGCTGGACTTGCTCCAGAGAGACTCCAGGGCACTTCCTTGAGCTGGAGAGCATTGCCCTCCCATCACACTGTCTGCAGCAGCTGGGACACTGGGCCCTGCTCTGCCTCCATGGCTGCTCCTTCCTGCTTTGAGCCCTACCCTTCAGCACAGCCCTCTCCTGTAGGTCTGAAAACTCACTGCCCCTCTTCTGAGAAGCCTTCCTACTTCCTGAGCTGGTATTCCCCAGTCCCAGCTGGTATTCTGCTCCTGGTATGTCTCCTCCTGCATGTATGCCAGACTTCCTGTGCAAACCCAAGCCCACCCTAGGGGAACCGGCCAAGGCCAGAGTCCAGGGCAAGCTTGAGAAGTGGGAGCAGAAGCTGCCAGGGATCAGCATTATGCAAATACAAGGTTCTGATTGTTAGAGCAATTTAAAAACAGGCCTCTCATTTGGGCTTATTTTGCTTAATCAAGCATTTTAAGTGGCAATATTTTGTGTTAATTTTTTCAACCAGCTGCTCTTATTATTTGATTATACATTATTGGAGGACCTCAAGGGCAAGCTTAGAGTATTGGAAAAACAACCTCAGTCCGGAGCTGCTGTCCGTTGCTCCTGGCTCCCGTCCAGCTCCTGGAAGGATGTCTGGATCTGAGACTTGTGCTGCCTGGCTCGCTGGCCAAGAGCCACACCTGGCTGCCCAGCTCACAACACAGTGAGTGAAAACTACACCCCGGGTTAGGGACTGAGTGTGACAAAACAGAATGTAACTTTCTCGTTGATGAGCTAGTTTGTGGATGACATATTGAACATTTTGGATCTACTGAGACAAATAAAACGCGTTTTTGGCAGCACTGACATTTGAACTCAGGGCCTTGTGCCACTCAGGCCACACCCCCAATCCTTCTGCTTCAGTTATTTTTCAGGTAGGGTCCCGTCCTTTCATCTTGGCTGGCCTTGGACCTTTCACAGCCACCTGGAGAGAAAAGCCATGCTCTTCAGAAATAAAACAGGCAGTGGGAGTCGCTGTCACTCCCCAGTGTCACCCAACAAGCCCATGGAGCAGGCACTGACTTCACATGTTACACAGAAGAAAACTGATGCACAGTGAGCCAGTGAAGGTTCCAGAGACACTCTCAGAGCAGCCTGTTAAAATGGTTGTGGGGCAGATCCCCAGTGGAGACTCCACACCTCAGCCAGGGATGCCCAGGAGGCCTGCACTTACCCCACAGCATCCCCACCACCCTGCTCCCAAAACTGCTCTGTGCTTCTCCTTTTACATGGAGTGTGGGGTCCCCCCAGCTTTTATATTTCAGACAGAGCGTACTTAGGAACCGGGTGATGACTGACTGAATGAATGACTGATTCACTGATCTAAAACCACACCAGACGCCATATGAAAGCCAGTGCCCCATGCTGCAGGAGTTGGGGGCTAGATGGCCAGGAGGTTCCTGTAGATACACAAGGTGACAACCATTGTCAATCTGGACCCAAACGTCGCTCCCTCTCTCTTACTGCTGCATGGCATCTGATCCAAGCATTTCCCCAGCTCCTGCCTTGAGAACTCCCAGCCACATTCCCTTCCGGGCAGAGTCCAGGTAAGAAACGGCACATCTGTTTGTATAATGGCTAAATAGCAATACCAAGCCCACAGAGATGGAATGCTAGGAAAGCTTGCTTTTCAGTGAAAGGAGAAGAAAAAAAAACACCATGAAAAATTTATTAAACTTGAGCCACTGGGATCAAACCACAAGTTAAAAGATTCAAATTCATTCCCCTTCCCTATAATTTACGATCTGCGTTTACAGTAACTGCAGTCCTAAGGATTAAGAAGGCTTATCCTTAATGTCACGGAATAAAGTTATTGGACTGGGCTAGGCCACATGTCCCAACGTCCTATTTTATGACAGCAATCCCATCTTGTTTTGCATCAAGAGACTGGTCACAACCAGAGAGGGCAGCAAAAGGATAATGGGCACCCAGGCTGGAGGACAGACTCACCACACAGGAATCCTTAAGCCATGGAACATGGGCCTGGACACCTCGGCGGGTGAGGAGGGAACAGAATGGAAGAGCATGCCCAGCTTGACACACAGGCTCCAGCTGTACAATGCCCACGGGGTCCCTCTCCTCCCTGGGCCCTCCATGCCAACCACTGAGGGATGTTTCTAGAGGGTACAGACCCCCAACCTCAGGGTGGAGGCTTAGGAGAAATGGCACGGGAGGAGACCACCTACAGCACTGGCCAGGGCTCTCTGGGCTCTGGGGCACCACCTGGAATGGTGGAAAGTTAGGGCACAGAGTTGGGGACACATGGTAGCATCCCCTCTCCAGGCCTGTTTCCTTATCTGTATAATGGAGGCAACAGAAGGACAGACCTCACAACTGTGGGGAGTGGGGAGGTGAGGAGATGGGTCCCAGCAGGGCATGGCCCCTGCTGGCTCACAAGCACCACCCCCACCGCCATGGTCCTCACTGGGTGCTGACCCAATACCATGTGCAGGGGGCATGTGTTAGGGGCTAGGGCGAACATGAAGGACACACAGGGTTTGACCTGAGCTGGGGAGCCTCTGGTTACAAGAGACATTTAACCATCTAATCGCACTGCTCCCTTGGATGGCCAGAGCCCAAGTGAGGGTGTGGGCGCAGACGGTGAGGCCAGCTGGGATGGGACACGGGAGGCTTCCCGGAGAAGGGGCCACCTAAGCCAGGATGTGGAGGTGGAGTATTTCCAAGGTGGAGAGAATGCCTAGAAAGGCGGATGCAGATCGAACCCTGACCTCAGCAAGCATCCTGCTGTACACAGGTGAGGTCAGGGCCTCACGCCCTTGGGGACCTCCCACCTGCTAGGACACTAGCCCCAAACACTTTCCCTCCCTGAGATCCTCCTTGCCTCTCCGAGCCTTTGTTCCCTCAAGAGGCCCTCAGGGTCAGAGTACACCTTTTCTTTCTTTCTTTTTTTTTTTAATAGTACTGGGGTTTGAAATCAGGGCCTCATGCTTGCTAGGCAAGTAACCTCCCCCACTTTTCCCCTCTGGGATGTTCTCTAGTCCTCTAACCCACCAAGGGGTTGACCAGATGTCCCAAGGAGCTCCAAGACTCTTAGCCATGGGTTAACTGCAGGCCCTGTGACAGCCTGCTTCAGAAGATGCACTGGTGTCACTGCTCCACCCAGAGTAAGGCATAGTGCGCTCTCTCTCTCTCTCTCTCTCTCTCTCTCTCTCTATCTCTCTCTCTCAGAGCTGGATTTAGATGTGCTGAATTCTGGATGACTTGGTATTCATGTAGATAGGGTCCCTATATCCACAGTCTGCCCCACACCCTAGAGGCATCCCTGGATGTGAAGAGGAAGGAGGTAAACCTAGTTCCCAGCACAGGGCCTCAAACACAGAGGTGCTCGTATTCATATTACAGCTATCCTTCTTAGCCTGTGCTTTGAGATGAAGGAAGAGGGAAATGGTAAGAATCTTCCAGAAGGAACATGACATTTATCTAGAAACAAAGATATGCTGTGTCTAAAAGAGGAACCAGGAAACTCAAAGAAGCCTCAGGCTTAAGAGGGCTGTAGGCACTTGGGCCAGGGGCCACCAGTGATGACCAGGACTTGGGCAGGCTGGGGACTGCTAGGCCCCAATCCTTCCCCTGCAGGATGGGGCACACACCCCTACATCCCACTGCCCCAGTTCAGAGGCCCATGCAACCCCACCATGGCCACAACAGGCCTACAGATTCTGGTGTGCATGTGGGAAAAGGGTCCAGCTTGGGAATGGCTGTGTGTGGGTAAAGCAAAGAAATCTTAGAGAGAGGAATGAGACCAACACAGGGCCATCACCTTTGATGATGTCTCCCACTGGCCCCACCCACCTGTCTGAACCACAAGCCCCACTGTCTGTGCTCTGGAAAGCACTGGAGCCGGCCCAGCCCAGGGCTGGCCCTACCTGAGCTTCCTGGAGTCACCACACAAAAACAAGAGCTCTAGAAGGGAGCCCAGCGGTCACCAGATCAGCCACAAGGTAAGCTGGCAGCCTTCTAGAAGGCAGTGGGTATGTGGTTAGGACTGTCCGTCCCCAAGCCACTCAGAAGCCCCCTCTCCCACTCAGGTGGGAGAGACCACACAGCAGTGGGACATGAGAGACACCAAGTAGGAACAGCCAAGGGTGGCTCTGCCCAGAGTGTGGTTCCCTAACTGCTGGACAACAGGGAACCTCCTTCCTCCCTCACCCTCCCGGTCCTTCTCAGCCTTCTCCTTACTCGGCCAGCTCCTCCAGGCTGCGGTAGACGTCATCGTCATTTTCTGTGGTCTCCTCTGAGGGAAAAGGCCTGTGGGGAGAAGGTAAGAGTGAGGACAATGGTTCTCCAGTTTTGCCCTCCTGGGGACCTGCCTGTGATCCATCCCTGGGACCCGTGTGGCTCTGCAGAGAACACAAGGGCGCGTTGGCCCACATAAGCCATCACACTGCTCTGTGGTGCAGATATAACCCACCACAGGAAGGGGCTGTGGGAGAGGAACCCTGGCCAGGGGGAGTCAGCCCCTCTTCGGGCCCCCACGTCCCACACCCTATCCACAAATGAGGGACCTGGGCCGGGAGTGGCAGCCTCATGTCACCATTGTCTCATGTCACTATGCCACCATCAATAGTCACCTGCATGGCAGTCACACGAGAGGTATGGAAATGGGGCTCCCTGGGCACCCCAAGGTGCAATGCAGGATGGACAAGTGACTAGCACCAGTCTCCCAAGGAGAGGACACAGGAGGAAGCTCTAGAAGGCTGCCCAAGACCTAGACAGGGCATATGAGGATAGTGGTTCTCATCTGCCCCCGCAACCAGCCCATGGTGTCCAGTGAAGGTCAAGACAAGCTTGGAAGGCTGAGACCGGTCCTGGGTGCCCACCAGCAAGGCTCTGATGCCTCCCTCCTAAGAGGAAGTCCTTGGAGTGGGAGCTGCATGGAGATGTGGCCTAAAGTACATGACTGGACAGCTGTGGTCAACAAGAAATATGCTACCAAGGGAGAGGGTCCCTTGCTGCCATAACCCCCCCTCAACAGCACCATTCCCTCTCTCCTGGATCATCCATGACCTTAAGCTCCCCAACACCCTCACCGCCCCCCAGCCCCCACTGCATCCCTTCCAGCCACGTTCCCCAGGGCGGTCTATGCATCCATCTCCACCACCATCTCCTCACTCGCGTGCCCCACTAACCAAAACTGCTCCTGTCCAGAGCAACAACGGCCTGAATGCTGTCAAATCCAGCTTTCCCTTGCCCAGATGGCCCTGTCTGCCCTGCTTAACCAGCTGACACAAACCCTGGGCTCTGCCTGGGCACTGGATTTCTTGGTCTTTTCCTTCCTCCTGGGCTCATTGCTGATTCCTTCTCACCCCCAACTCTAGAGAGCCAAGCCACCCTTCACTTTCTCCTTTTAATTTTCCCCCACTCCCAGGTGACCAGGGCTTCACAAACCACCGTTGTCATCCGCTCACCCCTGCATATGCCACCCTGATGGGAGCAGTGCAGTGGTCTCTTGCTTCAGCCCTGGTCCCCACACACTCTGCACTCCATCAAGTGGCCAGAGCCAGCCAGTCAAGACGCAAATGGGCCTCATTGCTCCTGGGTTCCAGCTCTCAGGGCACAGCCCTTCCCAAGCTGGCCTCAGCACCCACCCCTCTAGACCAGTGCCCACTCAGTTGCCAATCCCTCACGATCTCCATCTTAGAGCACACCCTGCACCACACAACCCCATCTCTCTCCTCCTCCTTAGCTCTCCACCTGACACAGGACAGTCCCTGTTCCTAGGGAACCAGGCTCCCTCGAAGGCCACATGGACATTTACCTGCCACACGTGCTCAACACTTTTTCAGGGAATCAGGTGGGGCCATGCTGGGACAGAGGGCTGCAGGCAGGTGAGCACTGCAGAGTGGGAGGGACAGGGTGGGGGCCGGCGCTGCAGCTTTGCCCTGCCAATGCTGTCCTGTGGACCTGGCCAGACTGTGGTGTGTGGGACTCCAGCAACGGGGCTTCCTATAGCTGAGCATGGAAACCATTCACATCTGCATGAGATGAAGCCCTTTCTAATCTGGACTTGAGACCTTTTATTATTTTCTTTCTGTGAATTTTTCACTTGGTCTTGAGAGAGAGGATGCCTGGCACTCTACCATCTTGGGACAACTCTGATGTGCCAAGGACTGTCTGAGGTGGACGACAGATTGGGACAGGGTATCAAAGAGCTTCCTTGGAACTGGGGAGGCCACGGACACACAGGTGTCCACCCAGACAGCTCAGAAGCAATGGGACAACACTTGGAAGGAATCAGGTTTGCTTTCCAATGGAAATAGTGGCAACAGTAATGTCAACACAGCTGCATCCGTCCACCCCACCACCAGCACAGAGCCCCAGATGCTCCATGAAATCGGGATCCTCAGGAGCCAGGTGCACACCTTGTGTGAGCACCCGTTCCCACTGGTGCCTCGGGTCGGCAGACCAGACCCTGTTGTCAAGGTGAAACAGCATGCCAGACAATGCTGGCTTCCAGCAGTGACAAGTCCCAGCCTGAGGCAGGCACCACATGCACTTCGGTCCTGGAGACGAGGGTGGGGGGGTGGGGTGTAAAGGAAAGACATGAAGGAGTTCAGAAGTCATCCAAAAATATGCTTCTTTGGGATATTATTTTAAGCTAAAAGAAACTGAGAACCAGCCTTCCCATAATTTGTCCCCCTGGAGCCCCCAAGCCCCCATCCGCTCTATACCACCTTTCATCACCTGCCCCCCCCCCAGAGTATCCTATTTTGTGGGACTCCTGTATGTATGCTTACATACAGAATTGTTTTTCTCTTATTAACCTAATATGTCAATTTAACTCATACACCTGCCAAAAACCTAGAAGGGGTAGAGGAAGCAATGATTCCTTCCCTATAGCCCCACATTTCACCTGCTCTCCCTCCTCTGCAGATAGATGGGGGGGTGGGGAGTAGTGGGGAAGGAGATTCCAGCAGGCAGCCTTCCTGCAGGAGTCCCACCCGTGCCAGCTGGGTGTCTCCCCTCACCAAGGGTTGGGCTGACACTGGCAGAGCATGGCAATTCAACAGGGACGGGGCCAGCCCCACAGCAGCCTCCACCAGTGAGGCCAAGCACTGTGCTCTGGGGCTAAGGGACTGGGGTGCAGGGGTTAACTGAACTGGGGCTGCAGACCTGGGTCCCACCTGACCATGTCATAGACCTGCAGGGACCCTGTGCCTTAGGTCTCAGGTCCCCAAGGCAGATCTGCCAAAACTCTGGTCTCTGCACTCCTTACCTTGTGGCTTCATGGCAGCAACCTGTGTGCAAGTGGGCAGCATGGCCCCACTGGGTCTCTGTGTGATGGGTTCCATCCTCTCCTCCCTTCTGCTCCCCCGCCCTCTGACTCATCACCGTGATAACGAAGGTGTGGGTGTGTTCTTGTATCACAGGCAGAGCCGAGGCCACCAGGATACACCAGCCATCAGCAGGGGAGGCCCCCCCATGCTGACTCAGTTCTGCTTTCAGCCAGGAGCCCCCTGAAGGAGGCCATCTTTTCCCACTGTACAGCAGAACCCAAAGTGGCCCCAGATCCTCCCAGGATCTAATTCCTTTCCTAACATGACATAATGGTCAGTGACAGGACCACACACACACACACAAGTGACCACAAAAGGTGCTGGGAAGGGTCGGCCAGGCTGAGGCATGGTCACTGGACCCCAGAGGTAGAGCACCTTCTTCCTTTCAACCAGAAATATGACTGCCAGGGCAGGTACCCCTCTGTCCCCATGCATGATCACTGTATCAACCATGTCGGCTCTTTCCAAATTTGGTTATGTTTTGTTCTTTTTCAATTTACTGTCTAACTGGTACATAAAAACATAAAGTCATACTACATATGGAGTTCCATGTGATGTTCCGGTATGCGTTTTCAAATCTTTAAGGAGAAGTGATACCCCTTCCATAAGGGAAAACACCACAATCTTTATTTATTCTATAACAAAAGATTCTTCACCCATATATCCACAATTTCAAAAGCTGCTCATATCCTACAAAAGTGTGTTGGTATAAAATGGCATGTGGCAAAATTTTGACACGCTTTTGATACAGAACGCGGAGAGGGAGAGGAAAGCCTGCCCTTCCTCAAGTCCTGCGACCTTGTCCAAATTCCAACGGGGCGGGGCGTGAGGTTCTGGGGCAACTGTGGTCATGGCTAACACTGGGGAGCCCCCTTGGGTACAGGATGGGCTTCCCAGCCCACCCTGCCAAGTTGTCAGAGAGAGATGCTCCCTATTTAATAAGGGAACGCCCCCAAGCCCCATCTGTTGTCACTCAATCTTGCTGGTCCCCCCGCAGACATCACTACTCAACTTCAGCACTCCTGTGCTTGAAGCCCAGACAGTCTTAACCCAGGGTTTCCTCCTGGCGAGACTTGGCAGTTGGGTGAAAGCCCATCTGTCCTGCCAGGTGAGCTGAGCCAGAGACGAGGGAGGAGAGGAAAGGCTTCGGAGAGAGGCAAGGCCAGGTCTGAGTCCTGGGCAAGCCCACCACCTGCTCTGTGTTACCTCAGGCAAACTGCTTAACTTCTCTGACCCTCGGATCCCCCTATCCTGGAAAATGGAGATGGTGGTGCCTTCTCATGGGGTTCCTACGAAGAGTAACAGCATTGCACTCAGAAGACAGAAGGATCACAAGTTCGAGGTCAACCTAACTGGGCTACAGAGCAACTTCAAGGTTATACAAAATGACCCTGCCTCAAGCCCCCTCCCACCCAAAAAGAAAAAAAATTCTGCATGGGGCAGAATGTTCTACATTTTAGCAGGAGGCTGTGGTTTATTATTCCTGGTACCATACTCATCTGGGCAACTTTCTACTGCCCCCAAAACTGACTTCTGATGCCTTGTTAGGTCCTTCAGGTCCTCTGCCCCATGGGTACTTCAGTGGCTTCCTAACAGACGGAAAGTTGGGACCCACTACAATAACACACGATGGTAATTTCAAAATGTTTGGTCCCTATTCATTTGAACGAGCCCCTAGGCATGATTTTCCTGCGGTTCCCTTTTCTATCTCTTTCAGTACCTTGGCTCAGCCCCTCCTGTCATCTCCTTCACCTGCCCTGCCCAGTGAAGATAAAGCAGGAATGTGAAAGTAGGAAGAATTATACGGCCGCCCATAAAACCGTTACTACTTTTACTCTAGCACCACTGTTTGGGCCCACAAAGCCCCTAGAGAACAGAGCTGCAAATCCAATTAATTTCTGTCCCAGCCAAAGACAGGCACTTGCCAAGGCAGGGAGACCAGGAGAGAGAGGCGGCCCACCAGGGCCATGC